GTACTTTATCTTCTCACTTATTCTATATTATCTGATTGTTAATTTGCGCGCGAAAATTTTTAAAATTTCCATGCGAGGGCACGCCCCCCCCCCCTCCCTGCGCGTTTTTTTAACTATCAGTCACAGCCGGCTACTTTTTTGATACAACCGCCTACTTCAAATCATTCTGAAACCCCTGATCCAGTCTCCGAGGAACCTTGCGAGGACGCTTTTCTTTTGGCTCCTCGATTCCCAATTTTACGCATCTCTCTAGGGTTGCAAGCCAGAAATCTTCAAACTTCACATCGCATCGAAGAGCCTTAATTGCAGTAAGAAGATCAGCTACTCTCTCACATCCTGAAACAACGTCGAGGCCTTCGGACTGAAGCTTGTCTGAAACCCCTTTACTAAGATGCAGCACCTTTTTTAGCATCTTGCGATAAAATAGAACAAATCTAGTAAAAAGAACAGTTTTCATTATACGCATATTTTTTTTAAAAAATAACAGTCCAATTATTCAAATTACCTCTAGAGCTACAATGAATTCAAAGTCTTGAACATTTTGCAGCAGTCCCTTTGCCTCAGCTGCAATGGCCGCCTTTGTTTCATTTTCCCTAACCTCCTTCAGCGTTGCAATTACAGCATCTGAAGTACGGTGTATTCCTACTATACTGTCTGCACGACAAGCCCATCTGGTATCAGATAGCTTCTTAAGGGTATACTCCCTTTTTTCTCCTCTTCCGGCATGGGCATTAATTTCCCTCTGATTCTTCACATAAACACTATGTCGCTTTGGGCAAGACTGGATAAAGACATACAAGTTCTGTAACGTTCCAAAGAAATCTCGGGCAATCTTGTTTTTGCTCATAGTGTCCACAATGACAAGGTTGAGAATATGTGCATAGCAATGAGTGTAGGAACAAATCGTCTGCTTCTTGTTCTACAGCTTCTGCTTTTAGGTCAACTTCGAACTCGTACGGTAAAATCAATAATCATTTAATACGGTTCGACTAAACAAAACAAATACATACAAAACTAAGACACTACATTATGAACTAATCGCATAATATGAAATAAAACTTACAGATATTCCCTCTGTTAGAGTAAAGTAAATTCTGTCAATAAGTTCAGACGAGAAACAGTCCGT